ATTTGTTTTTAAAAAAATTTTATGTTAAGGACTTATTATCCTCGAATTTCGTCCTTCTAACTTAATCAGCTTAAAAAATACCTATTCGTCCTTGTGAATCGAAAAAATTATAATTTTCTTAAATTCTAAAGAATTTTCCTCTTTCATTTAGTACCCATATTTTTATTCCTCATTGCATTGAATTATTTGAAATAGTTTTTGGAATTAATCATATTTTTGAAATTACAAAGTCCTTTAAAATAAATCCTGATGTTAAAGAGAAAAAACAAAAACGCCACTTTAAAAAAAAAAGTAGGTTTCAAACCCATTTATTTCTAATTTATTTTTCGGTTTAAGCTGTTGAAAAGTAATGAATATTGTGATAACAACATCCCGAAAATCCCGGCATCGTAAAAATCGAAAAATCTAATATCCCTAATAGATACATATCGAGCCGTAAGCGCCAAGAAGATGTAAGCGACATTTTTTTTAATTTTGATGCAGAAATGCATCTAGATACTCTACCAACATTTTTTTTTTTTATCTAAAAGAAAATTTTCCAAAAAAATGTCTCTTACACCTTTTTGGCGGTTAGGGCTCTATATGTGAAAATTACGTGATTGACGGAAAATCTAACTCACGCACGCTCACGCCAGCAAAAATTTCTGTCACGCACTATCACAGAAGTTACGTGATTCTTCCCTCAAAACCGCTCACGCGCACGCTTGAAAAACCGTGACACGACGTGTCACATAGAAAACCACGTGTTTTGCTCATCTCTAATCTGAATCAACATTGGCTGCATTGTATTTACCAAGTGGCTCATTTTCTCAATACGCCTGAAAGGCCGACATCCGGTTGTATATTGTGCTGAGACCGCTGAGCCTGGCAAACCGGCAGGCGTCAAATAAACTAGTTTTTAACACAATTGAGCTCATAAAGTTAGTTGTTTATTAGTCAGACCCATAATATGGATGGTTGGCATGCTCATTGTCGTCATTGGCTTTTGCTCACCTCAGTGACGTTGAATAGTTGCCCCGCTTTCAACACGCTTAGTTATGTATTGCTCGTATCCTTTTCACTTTTATTTCATTATTTGCTACTGCTTTTTTTTTATTTGTGTTTTGTGCATTACCTTAGTCGTCATAGCCTTTCACCTGACTTTTTCGCTTTTTAACTTGCAAGTCTACACTTTTTTTTTTGAATTTTTTTCCGCTTTATTACACTGGCATTTATTCGTTTTTCGGTTGACCTTCATTGAAATTGTGGCAGTGAACGCCGGGAATGTATGGCATAAGGATGTGCGCAAAAGAAAATTAGTTTTACACTGCCTCACTGTCTGTTGTTGAACTGTCAGTTGAAAGAGCTCATCATATTTGCCTCCTTTTTAGCTCGGCAGCAGTGTGTCCTTGAAATCGGTTGTTTGTTGTGTGAGATTTAATTAAAAAGTATGTATGTGTGTATGTATGAAGCTTGTGGGCATATGCCTACACATGCACTAAGAATTTCATGCATACATTTAGGCGTTCAACATGGCTTTTGTTGGAAAGCCTACGCTGATAGCTTTCAGTAGTTTATATGTAGTTCGCAATTCTTTTAAGGTCTACAATAGCTAACATTGTACATGCTTGTGTAAATTTTCGTGCTTGTGCTTACATTCATTCTCCCAAAATGACGAAATGCAAAGTTCGTGAGTCACAAGCGTTTTATTGCTTGGTGAATCATCGCTTGTACCAGTTTGTTCTTTCTAATTTATTCACTAGAGTTCACTGGCATCGGAAAAGTTGGGCAGTCGGTGTTGAAATCGTTTCGCAAATTGATTGCTCTTTAGAACAATAAAGTGTCAAATTAACATATATATTATGATAGGCCTGTGGTAGCCTCTTACATTTATAAAATATTTATAGACAGGGCTTCTGGGGACTAAGATCATTGGATATAGAACTAGTGACTACTTGACGGCAAGATTTTACACATATATGTTAGCTTAAATATGTATCGAGTACCTATACGCTCACTCCATTATATCTGCGCACATCCTTGTTTTTTTTTTT